ATCAGGAGGTAGAAGGCAGCCTCCCTTGCTCTCTCTCCATACCTCTTCAAGATCAGATCTCTCTCTCTCTCTCTCTCTCTCTCTCTCTGCTTTCACTTTTCTGTCTTTCTTAATGCCTCCACCAATGCAGTGAAATATCCCCCAATAAGAAGGCAGCCCCCCAAAAGCCATGTGTTTTCCAAAGAAGTGCTCTGATGCAGTTGGCCTTGCTTTTATCCACTTCACTGTTTCCTCTCAGTTCACAGAGATTGTTTAATCTTTTCTCCCCCCTCCTTCCTCTTGAGGATGCAAGGTTCCATCTGCTTTACAGTCATGGCAAAATGAGAATCCAGGGAAATATTAGGAAAAGAGATTGCGCTGATTACGTGTGACTCCAGAGGCTGAAGTGGGCCCTCAAGCTGGAAGTCACTGGAAAGCAGATTTGGGCTCAATGAAGAACTGAACTATTACTTGTTTGTAGTAGAAAAGGTACCATTGGGATTCCAACTGCTTTCACAAACTGAGATTATATAGTCTCCTTTTACTGAGTGACAAGATGGCAGGACTGAGAACTATGGGACTCCTCAACTCAGAAACTCACCTATGAATGTCTCATTGGTTTTTACCATCTCCCTAGCAGTTAGCAACAACAAAGTGATCACTGCCATCATTTGAAATGATGTTATCATAGAGTTTTCCTTCTACAATTTCCCTCTCCTTGATAGTGGGGCTGAGGTCCTGCTGCACAAAGGCACTTCAATATTCTAGAGTCACCTCTAGTCATAGGTACATTGACTAAAACTTGGTACCGTCCTCTGTGACTCCTTAGGTAGAAGCACTTTGGCAAATGGATTTGATCAGGAGACTGGAAATAGTAAGGTGTATTCCAGTGACAGCCTTTGCATTTGGAAAGGCTGTAAATTTGGGTATAAATCATCTTCATGGGCTTGTGAGCACTGCTTGGAAGTGGAGACATGGGGAGATAATCAGGATCTGGTTATGGATCGCTTCATGAGAGAGTGGGCCAAATGGTTAAAGGATGCTACCCCCAATAGGAGTCTCTAGGTCTGATAACACAGGCTTGTGAGCACATCCAAAGGATGTGGTTTCTCTGATTCTATTCAGTTTTGTAGCAGAGGGTACAATTTGGGGGGGGGGGCAATCTAACTTGGAGAAATGTTGGTGGAAGTTAAGCCTGTACATAGGTGATAGGAACCCAGATACTAGGAAAGGAATTTGACTAGATACCAGGGATGCATGAGGTTCAAGGTACTAACAGAGTTACTGGAAAAAATAATAAGTTGTTGAAACTCAAGTTACCTCCAGACAGGAGAAATGCATAATAATAAGGGACAAGATAAAGACCAGAGAATGTGTTCACCTCAGAATTTTCTCCTGTTATAGGACTTATTTTCTTTAAATTTTTTTTATTGTAAAGATACTGTACAGAGGGGTTACAGTTACGTGAGTAAGGTAATGAGTATATTTCCTATGGAGCATTGTTACCTCTTCCTCTATTTTCCCTTACTATCCCCTCCCCTCCCTCTTCCCTAACTCCCCCCTCTCCCTTCCCCGAAGTTGTAAATTTTGTTTTCAGAGTAGTGTCTTGTAGTCTCATTGTTACAATGGGTCAACTGTATCCTTGTTTCAGCATTTTATTATTTTATAGGACTTATTTTCTAAGTGAGATTAAATAGAGTAATAATGGAAGTTTGCAGTTCTCCTTGGTTCCTGAGTTCAGAAGGAAAGTGTCAGTCCAAGACTTATTAAATGCAAAGGCAGATCAAAGCTTGGGTGCTATTTCCTGTAATGGTTGGTATTTGAACAGAAATGCTGAGATCCTGGAAAAGACTTGGGAGAACTGAGGTCTTCACTAAGTGGGGAATCCAAGCTAGGTGCTGTTACCAGAAGTCTAGTGAGAGATGTAGGGCGTCTGGTGTGTGGTGGTGGTGGTGGTGGTGGTATGTGTGCATGACTTTGCTCGGTTGATTGCTTGATTTTGCATTTATGACATAGAAGATAGAAGATTAACACGGTAGTAATTTTACAGGAGAGAGGATATTCAATGTGAAATATAGTTGTGCAGATATTGAATGATCTGAACTGACTGAGACTGAGCAGCTCCAGAGAGGTACACAGCTGTAAGAACTAGAAGCTGTTTTGCCTGAAATGAAGGTTGTTTGTGTTCGCAGAGTTAGAAAAGATTTTGGAGTCTCTAAGGAGAGGAATTTATCCTGTGTTTGTTGCTAAGTTTTTATACTATGCAAAGCCATCCAAAGTTGGCATGAAGGGAAATGAGGCCAGGTGCATTCCCTGTCCTATAACCTAGAAAATAATTTTGTTGGGTTACAATGGCACAGTCACAAACTTGGAAGGTTGAACCCACCTGAGGATTGTTGAATTCTTTTAAAGCAACAAGTGTCAGTTTCTAGGAAGAAGACTAGAAAGGTAGGGAGAGAGGGGAAAGATACATACATTCAGGACAGACTAATAATTCAAAAAGATCACATGGATATATGTGATTATTCTTATTCTTATTGTGTCAAGGAATCTTTCCTCTGTCTGCCATACTATGTGACTATTTTATTCAACTCTCAGCCACACCATCTCCATGGAAATACTCAGAAAACACTGTAGTAAATAGAGAAATACATAGGAATAACAGATACTAAACTCTTCATTCAAATCATTTCCCCCATTCCGTGGAAAAAGCCAGAAGCATTTCCCTTCTTTGTGTTATTGCTGCAGATTTTGGTGGGGAAATGCTGAAATTTCAACCTCTCATCTGCCCTCCTATCTGCCCATTTCTGTCAGTCTGCTTGCTAAAACTCCAGCTCAAATGCTATTTCTTTCTGCAAAGTGTCCACTGCCCTCCTCCGGCACCATTCCTTCCTATGGCACTGACTAGATATGTGAACATCTTATGCCTGCCTGAAATTAACTATTTCCTGGATGTAGATTATTCTCTTTTGTACATTTATAACATGCTCAAGAATAATAATCAGACTGAATTCTCCTCTTTCCAATCCATTACCCCCTCTTCCCTTGATGGACTGCTACATAGATGGACTCACTGGCCCCAGGAATTTTTTTCTGTGTCCTGACTGCCTGAACATGCCTTGCAAGTTCACAGGCTTTGAGGACTCGTGAGTCAAGAAAGATCTATGTGTATCAGGACATGGAATGCCAAAAAAGCAGTGATGTTAAAGTAAAAGAAGCCAGACTCTGAAAAACAAATATCACATATTTCTCTTATATGTATAATTCAGAAAAAAAGACGAGAGCAAAATGGGCTAGTAGGGAAGAGGAATGAGACCAACAGGAGGGATGAGGGAAGAGGCAATATTTATATATATATATATGAAAATATATAATAATAAACCTAGTATTTTGTACAACTAATAAAATTTTGAGGATGTTAATATGATGAAAAGTATAATTATTCCTTGCTTTGCTGAATCTTGTACTAGGAATGTCATATGTAATGTTCACTTGTCCTGAGAAATCTAGGTGCTCCCCACCTTCTTTTGACAAAAGGCAGAAACTCTGTCTCAAAAAGGTTGAGGACTATTGTTAACAGGTTGGTGGAGGCCAACACTGCATCTTAGCAATCTTGGTTCTGCCTTTGCCTGCCAGATCTTTCCACATAAGATACCCATTTTCTTTGGGAGACCAGATGAGGGTCCAGGACAGAGAAGGTGCTTTCTTAGTACCCAGTTAAAATATACTGCCAAATTTCCAGTGGAAACTGCTGCAAAGAGATGGAACTAGAGATAATGATTCCCAGTCTCTGATGCAGAATACAATATTTATTTACTCCTTCAATATGTTTACTATGTGTCTCAGCTCTGTGGGTTGCTAAACCAAATAGTTCATTTTTTCCTGTTTCATTCCTATTTTTGCTCTCTCTCTCTCTTTCTTTTCTTCCTTTCTTCTTCCTTTTCTTCCTACCACCTTCCCTCTCTCTCTCTTTCTGGCTTCCTTTCTTTTGAAAATCAGTTATCTATTAACTATATAATTTCTCCAAGCTTAGGTCTACATCCAGAAGGCTTATCTTCCATGCAGACAATCAGGGTCTAGTTAGATTTTATGATTCCCTATTCAGTATTCATTTGTCAGTAGCCACTATCTCTCCATAAGTTTAGACACCCACAAGAGATTGAAAGATTCTCAGACCTCTCTGCCCCAACCCTTTCTTACTATGTGCCTGTGCTATGGCAAATAGACATACAGCAGGCAAAACAGGCAGGGAGACAGACAGATACAGATAGACAGGAACACACACACACACACACACACACACACACACACACACACACACACACACACCACCCAATGCTGCAGAAGTTCTCTTGCCTCTTTCATGAATGCTTGGTGATCTTCCATGCATGGATAGTAATAATGATTATGATTAATGAATTTCTCCTTATACCCAATATGTAATTATTGGCATTATTGATGCTAGGTGACTCCTTTCCTGGATCCTCCTGGAGAAAGGGGACGTAGTTACTGGCTTCTCCCACAGCCTTTGGGCAGTAGGGGGTGGCTAGGAATACAGGATTCGGGTTGTAACAAACACCAGGATTTTTCAGAATGACAGCTTACTGCATAGCAAAGGAGTCTTTTCTAGTCCTGGTGTTTCAGCAATTTGCTTTCTGGTGGGCTTTTCCAGACTCTCCTTGTCAAGCCTCAGTTTCTCTCCATGTAAATTAGTAGGAGAGAGGTAAGAGATGACAGGGAAAGGATATTAAGTATGAAAGAGGCAAGGTACGTTGTGTTTTGCCTAGTCCCCTCTAGGGACTCATCACCGTTGTTCCCGTTAGGACTCAAATGTCCCTGGACTCCTCAAGCATGGAGCTTAAAATTCCCAAGGGAAAAGGCACTCTGGGGCTACCAGTCTCTTTCTCACTGCAATCCCTCCCTCCTCTCCCCATGTCTGAGCTCCATCTCCCTCTCTCTGCTGCTTCTGAGTCTGACAGCACTGACTTGCAGAAGCTTTCTAAATCCTAAACCCTCTTCAGGGACGCACCCAGCCTGCTCACTAACCTGCCATAATCCAGCTCTCAAAGTGGTACTTCTGGATTTCAGAGGAGAGTGCGGTGTCTCTGGAGGCCAGACGCAGAACTCCTGGATCACCACAGGCAGTTTGGAGGCTGGTGAAAGAGTGTCCTGGCTGAGCTCGCTCGGTTCCTGGAGACCCTTATTTGAGCTCCCAAACCCCCTAGAGAGTTCCCACCCGATTCTCCAACTGCCCCCTTGTCTCATTCTTGTAACCTCCGGGACTATGCAGGCCTTTACTGGTGACCTCTTTCCCCCGACAGCTACCTAGGTTGCTGGACCGAGTGAGACATGGGACCATGGGTCCGTCTGTCCAGTTGGAACCATAGTCTTCCTATCCCCTTTTCAGTTCCCTGAACCACGGCTTCTAGCCGGTGTTTGGGGCGCTGGTGCAGAAAAGAAACGGAGAGTAAGAGAAAGGGGAGATGATTAAGGCAAATTATGGGGCTAGAAAAACCCTTAAGTCTAAGCTATCAACTGCAGCAGGATAGAAAAGGGGGAGGCAAAAGAAGAGCGGCAAAGGTGGGGGGGGGGGGCATGAGCTGTAAAGACTTTGCCAGCCCCTCCGGCGCGCCCCAGCCTGGATGGACTGGGCGGGGGGGGGGGGGGGTTGTTCAGCTTCGGCTTCTCATTGGCTCTCGCGCGGGCCCCTCGACTTTCTATAAAAGCTGACTGCAGAAAGCGCGGCGGGCACCGGCTCGGAGCGCTAGTGGCGGCGACCGGACTCCGCCCTGCCCACAGCGCCCGCCGGTTTTGGACAAACAGACAGACCTACAGACTGATTGAAGGCAACAGAATTTGAATCAGAAAGATCCCGGAGTGAGCAGAGGAGGAGCAGTGCCGGGGACGCCAGCCCCGGTCCCCTACTGGGGACGCGGGCTGCCTGCGCTCTCCAGGCAGCGGCGGCGAATTTTGGGAGCCAGCCGGGTTCGCCCGCCCCGCGCTCAGCTGCCCCGCGCAGCTCTCTAAGCGGGTTCCAGCCCTTCTTGCTGGTTCCGGGGGCTTCTTCCCCTTCCCCTTCCCCACCCCCAGACACCTGGGGGAACTCTCTCTCTCTCTCTCTCTCTCTCTCTCTCTCTCTCTCTCTCTCTCTCTCTCTCTCTCTCTCTCCTCCCTTGAGGATTTCTCTTCCCTTCTCCTTTCCCTGGAACCTCCTTGCCCCAGTCGCTGAAGGACCTTAGGGTCCACAAAAAGCGTCAAGCTGGACGCCCCGACCACGGAATCGCCCCTAGGGGCTTTCCCAAATCCTGGCACCATGAGCTATGGGGATGAGCTGACTCCCGAAGCTCTGAGCGTGCCCAGCGGCTTTGATGACCTGATCACCTCCACCACTTCCCAGGTGCTGCAGGCCATGTCTAATGCCGCTTCTGCCGTGGGCCATGCTGGCAATGGCAAGCTCTCCATGACAGATAAGCTGCCAGGCCAAGCACCCAATACGGGTGACCTGGCTGACACATCGGGTCCCATCAGTTCTGAAGTAGTGTCCCAGGACGAGAGCGTGCAGTTCTGGCTAGTGATAGGGTACACCATAGTGGTCTTTGCTGCCATCATAGGCAACTGGGTCTTAAACCACGTAATTATGAAGTACAAGAGGGTGCACACGGCAACTGGCCTCTTTGTCGTCAACATTTCTGTGACCAACATGATGCTGGCTCTTCTCAGCTCTCCCTTCACTATGGTAAGCAGGGTGTTGAGGAGGGTGGCTACGGGGAGCTGGGGAGTAGCTAAGGCATAACTTTGCTCTTTGGGGGAAGGGAGGGAGCCTTGGAGTAGGTTGGTTTGGTTTGGAGAATATTTGCCGTTTTCCTGGAGACACATTGGCTGAAAGCCATTGAAATGGGTTTGGAAATATGGGGGTGGAAGAGGTAGAGACAAATGGAAACTGGCAAGACTGTTGTTACTGAGCTCATCTTCCATCTTGGCAGAGGCTGGGAAAAACTAAGCTTGTTCCTCTTCCCCAGAGAGGCAGTGGGGACCTGTTGCAAGTGAGCTTTGGGTTGACTTGTGAGTTTGCATTGAGTCACAAAGAGCCAATCTTAGTTTACCCAAATATTGGGCTTGGACTACAAGGTAAATGATTGATAGCTTTTGTGATATGGTATCCTCTGGCACCTTCAAGTTGGACCATGGAAAAAGCATGAAAATTGTGGTGTGAAAATGTTTCTTTGCTTCTGAAGACAATCATGCCAGCAGTTTGGTGAAACAAGAAGGCTTTGATTTGTATTTTGGGGCTTTGTGAGGGGGTGAGACTCAGCCTTGAGTCCTTGAGCCTTACAGAGCCTTGTCTCCCACAGGTGCGCTATCTGTGTAATTCTTTGGTGTTTGGGAAGATGACATGTCACCTCAGTCGCTTTGCCCAGTACTCTTGTGCCTATGTTACTGTGATGACCATGGCTGCTATTTCTCTGGATCGACACCGGGTATGTGCTTCCCAGGTCTTGTGAAGGGATATATTCTCCTCTTAGGTAGACAGACACAGGTGAGATTACAAACAATCCAGAAAGTTCTTTTAGTTTCTTGAGACAATATATGTAAACATATATGTCTAGTTTAGGAGAATTGCAAAATGGTGAAATGCAGACCTTTCCCAAGTCAAATTTTACATAAGACAAATCTACCATTTTGATTTGGTTCTATGGGAAATAGAGATGTGGCAAATGGACACATGATCAAAGAATGTTCTCATGGAAAACAGTTTCTATTTACTGCATTGCGGGTCTAGCCAGGGGTGGGATGAGTCAGAAGTGGGTGTGCCTTCAGATTGAATGGTGGATTGGGTCTGGGAGGTGGGGGCGAGGGAGGGTGGAGGAATTTAGGAAGAAGAGACTTGAGGACAGAGCTGGGAGGAGGATTGGCAGTGATTTAAGCAGAAGTTGGGCGGGGGGCGGATGAGAAAATGGGAGGGGTTACACAGTCAATCATTTGTGAGGGAGCTAGAAAGTGGGTGGGATAGCATTGAGGGGTTTGTGTCTAGAGCTTTTTGGGAGGAAGCCATAGGAGGATCTAGATGATAGGAGGCAGATAGAAAGAGAGATGAAGGAAGGAGGGGCTACCTAGGAATCAAGGTGTGAGGGTATAGAAGGAGAAGGGAAAGAGCTTGAAGGGAGCTAGATAGGTGGGAGGGATGAAGGAATATGCAGAGTGCTTATCCATTCATATGTGACAAAGGAAATATAAAGCACTCTTTTAGGTATACATCACTGTTCAACATGAAACTTTTCACTCAGAGTCAGAAGCTTTAAAACCAGTCCACTCATAATTACCTAATGTTGCTCTTTGGTAAAATAAAATCTGGCATTAACTACTAAATGTCAAAGCACCTTACCTTCCTACCTATCAAGTCTTTGCACCTATGAACCAGAATGTCAGTTGATGAATGGCTAATAAGTAACCCTAATTTGAATTATTGAATTGGGTGGGGGTCCTTTTCATTTCAGGTTATGCTTTACCCTCTGAAGTCCCGGATTACTCCCATGCAAGGCAATGTTTGCATCATTGTCATCTGGATTGTGAGCACCTGTGCTGCTTTGCCACATGCTGTTTACCAGAAGCTTTACCAAGTGGAGTTTGGGTAAGAGGATCACAAAATGGTTACTGTTCAGATGACCTTGAAAGCCATAGGGAACTATTCATCAAATAGATGCTTGACTAGGACATTTCAAGATGTGGTTACAAAAATAAATTTTCTAAAGGAGTATTTATTATTATAGTTCCTAACAACTCATCCAGTGAGTTATTAGACATATACTTTCTTGTTTATGGCCATTATTTTTCCTACATTATACACGAGAAGTCTGGATAAGGTGAATTCCAGAACTCCTTGCTTTATAACTCTAGGCTTTACACTAAATAGAGATACAAACAGTACATATGTTTATTCCTTAAGGCCTATTATTGTAGCAGTTCACTACAAAGCCTTAAGGAAAAGGCAAATGAAGCTGATGGCTTCCTTTCTCTGTTTTATAACCTAGAAACGTAACTGAGGAAACTGCCTGCCTTCCCAGTTTCCCATACACTTCAGAATCCACATGGAAGTACCTTGATCTGGGCACCTTTTTGATTTTCTTCATTTTGCCATTGCTGGTGCTGGTGGTTGTGTATGGTCATGTGGCCAAGAAGCTGTGGATCCATAATGCTGTTGATGATATCAATATTCACACCTACATCTGCCAGCGAGGAAAGAAGAAGCAGACCCTGAAGATGCTGATGACGGTGGTGCTTGTCTACACCATCAGTTGGCTCCCACTCAACCTCTACCTGGTGCTGCTGTCTAGTGAATCCATCTCAAGCAATAATGGTCTCTACTTTTTTCTCCACTGGCTAGCAATTAGCAGCTCCTGCTACAACCCCTACATCTACTGCTGGCTCAGTGATAGCTTCCGGATTGAAGTTCAGAAGGTCATCATGGAAATCCAGAAGATGATCCTAGATGGAATCAGCCGCCTGAGGGGAGAGCACCGCCGACTGAGCTCGGTCTCACCCACCCAACGTCCTGCCTGGGTGGACCCCAATCCTGGAGTGCCCAAGTTCCCACGATTCAAAGATTTTGATGAGATACCCAGCCCCCCTCCTTCCCCACGGGTGGAAATTTCTTTCCTCTACCCATCAGTGCCTAGAGTTTAAGCTGCCCAGACCGCGATAGGTTATCCATCCTCAAAATACTTGATATAGGATGGGACCAAAATAACTGATTCATTTCTCATGAGCGAGTGAGAGGGGGGGGGGGAGGGAGAGGGAGGGAGAGGTGGGAGGGAGAGAGAGAGAGAGAGAATGTGTGTGTAGAAAAGTCAGTACTTGAGGGATGGGGGCCATATGAACCATCATATGTCTCACTTTTTCATTTTCTTCTTTATGCCTTTTTCCTCTTCCCTTTCCTATTTTTTCCTCTTCCCTTTCCTATTTTTTTCCTCTGCTACTCAAAGAAAGATGCTCCTCTCCAAAATGAAGACATGCACAACTTAGCACTTCAAAATAAAATTTATGAAAATCCTCTTCTCTGACTCTACTTTTACTATCATACTGGTTTCATGTTAATATGTACTCTCCAGTTTACCCCCTTTTTATAAAAAAGAGAGAAAGCATAATGTGCTCACTGTTGTTTTAATTGTTCTCATCTCTTTAGACTATGGAAATGTTAACTCAGCGAGAGAGATGAGAAGGAAGAAATAGCCCATCCTTCTGCCACTGCCTTTATTGGGGAAACAGTGTTGTTAAGGCCTTTTTATGGTATTGGTGGTTGTATGTGTATGGATAACAAGACAAGAATGAAACATGATATCCTCCTCTTTTTTTCTTCATACTCTTCCTCACTACACTGGACATTCTCTTTTTATCTGCTCTCCCTGTCTTTCTTTCCTTCCATTCCCCCACCTTTCTTCTCCACTATCTTTCTTAATCATTATTTTGTTATCATTGACATATTATTTGGTGTCCTGTAGAGAGGTGAGCCAGTCTCTAGGAGCCCAGAGCAGATTAACTGGTGTGTAGCTTTGGGTTAGTCACATCTCCACTTGATTATTTTGATAAAGAAGCCCAAATACTGCTGATAAATTCCCACATTTGCAGCAGTGTTGTCTCCCTTTTCAGATTGAGGAGAAATTAGAGGAACATAGCTCATTATAGCTTAAACACTCTTGCTTTCCATTTTCACATTTGTGTATTCATTCTTCATGCCTTCTCCATTCTTACTCTCAGCACCCTAACTAAAAATATCATTGACCTTTATCACTCAAGTACAAGGCTAGTTATTTGGAGAGGCCTTAGGTTGAATGGATGGTCACATCAGCTGCTGTAACTACATCATCTGTACATGTATAGTCTCCTTTTGGCTTCAGCTGTTTTTGAGATGAGTAGTGTTTGTGAGTGGTGAGCTCTGCTAGTTTCTTTTCCTCCCTCCCATGTAAATGTTTCTCATTCTCCTAAGAACAGAGATATTTCCTTCTCATTTTGACAGGATGGATACACCCCAGAAGAATGGCTTGACTAGGTTTAGGCCTTCCTACAAGGAGAGGGCACAGTGGAATTGCCTCTGGGTACCCAGTGCTTCTTGGAGGAATCATATCTTGCTCTGATATCCTCCTTCTCCTGTTTTGATTTAGGAGAAATTTGGATAAAAGGGCTATCATTGTAATTTAAATGATTATTGTGCTATTGTATTTTCACCTAATGTTCTCTCTTTCCCAGGAGAGTCCCTCCCTACTCCTATCCTTGTTCTCTGCAAAGAAAGACTCTTTTCACCCTCAGTAATGCTGGGAATCTGGAACTGTTCCATGCTTGACAGATATTCCAGCTTCAACATTTGCTGTGGACTTGGCTGGAAACTCCACATTCACAGAACTTTGTTTGAGAGCTTTGGTGATGTATGGGATGTTTGAAGAATTGGGAATCTGAATATTCTTGAGTTTCATGTGATTTATTTGCAGCAGCAACTAATTGGAATTCAGCACCCAGCCATGTCTGAGGGTGCTACCATTGTAAGTAGTTTGGCTGGGGGGCTCATTTGGTTGAAACATGGTGCTAATGAGCTCTAGGTCCTAGGCTCTAACCCATGTGCAGCCATTTAGCTCTGTGGGTTCGAGCACGGTGCTAAAGAACTATGGTCACATGGTGTCCGTTTACACAGACTGCACCACTCACCCTAGCCAGCCTTTTTCTGAACAAGGGTTATCAGCCACTTGGAAGACCCAGCAAAACTGTTGTGTAAATAGTCCTGCAAAACCCATTTCCACTTCTGGAGAAACAGCTTACAGTGTTTTCCCTACTGATTGTGTGTAAGTAGTGTCACTTTCTTATTAGAAAGAAATCACTTTTTTCAAATGTATATATGAACAAATAGAGAGGCAGCAATGGCAGACAGCAGTTGTCAAACAGCAATTTTACAAAGCTAAATGCATATACCAACATGTGTCTGCAGATTCTTTCTTAGATATTTTGAGCTGAAGGCTCAAAAATGCCCTTCCATCTTATAGTGTGTACTATCATACACAATCCCAGACACATGCATACACACACACACACACACACACACACACACACACACACACTCGCCCATGGCAAAATACATGGGCACCCACACACATATTAAAGCATACATAAACATACATTCAAAATGTACATACAGACAGAATTTTCTGTATTGGTTATGTTTGCTTCTTAATAGGTTTGCAGCTTAATAGGTATTTTTGCAGCAGAATACACCTTACTATTGATCAAGGCCTTCCTAGAAGTATGAGTACAAAACCAGACCATCCACTTGCTAATTGTCATTGCTGAAAGCTGTCTATGTCGTCTTGGATTATGAGGCATAGTCTCATTGATGGCAACTCTGTCCTCTGGGATATATGTGGAAGGAGAGTAGAGGGACTCAGGATGGACAGTATGAGAAGGAGAATGAAACTGTGTATCCTGATAACTCTTGTTCACTGATTTTTATGTGTCTGTTTCAAGCTCCCTTTCCTCATAATAGTGATGATGACTGTATAATTCTCAAAGTTAAGATCTTTTGGTGTTCTTGTAGAGTGCTTGTTGTTAATGTTTTACCCCTTGTTGAAAAACAACACTGTTTTGGGGTCAGCTTAGTATTGTAGATTGTACTTTCAAAGATGCTGTTCAATAGGAATATTTTCTCCAGATGCAAAGCATTGGATCAAATTCTTTTGTCCAACAACTTCTAGGGTAGCCAAAATTTAGCTTGATGCTAAAGGAAAGAATAGTTTCATCTGGTAACTCAGTGTAGAGATTGGTTGGTAAAAGTTTTCTGGCATAATATATTCAGAACCCAAAAGAAAATACCCATGTATATTTTATGTACATAGATTTATGTTATTCAGACTAGTTGAAAGGTAATATCAGAATTTATAACTAAAGAATGAATGCCACTATTCTTTTGTGATAACATCCTACTAGAAATAGTTCCCACCAGTTTATTTTTATGAGAAGAACTTGGAAGCAACCTGACAGACAGAGATATAGATTCAGCTTACCCTTGAGTGTTTTCTGTTCTTTTCAGAACAGTGATCTGAAAATGGAAGAAAGTCTTAAGTGAGACTTGGGAAACTGAGCATTCTACTTGTAGCTTTAGACAAGAGGCTGTTTGTCAATGTCTTTGTACCTACAGCTTTGTAGACTAGACAGTGTAGTGTAAAAATATCCTTCAATAAAATAAAATTTAAATGGAAAAAATTAAAAATTACAAAAAAACAAAGAAAATAAATGAGCCCTTAGTTCTTATAGTTAGTGAAGTTTAGTTAGTGAAGTTTATTTCTTACTCCAACACCTAACTGCCTGAGAGTGTTCCCTGCTCCTCTACCACATGATGGCACTGAACTTAGTGACACTGATACCTTAGTGACTTTTAGCTTTTACCACTGCTATGTACTTGTTTAACCTTTGTGGAATTATGAAAAGTATCCTAGACATATGTGCATAAGTACATCACACACTAGCTACAGTGTTAAAACTTAGTGGTGATGTGAAATGTGGAACTGAAGATTCCTAGGGATAAAGACTTCAAGATTGCCAGATTCTCTGGATGCAAACTGAAGCTGTTGGTGTCTAAATGACAGAGAATATATGGACCCATGGAGATACTGATGAATTACATTGGGACATCCTGACAAAGTGGAATGAGAAAAGTCTCACCAAGTTACAACAGGAGAATGGACATTATTTTTGGTTCCCAGAAGGGATGTGTGTTACTTATTTACTTGTTATTATTGCTTTAAACATCAGTGTCCCTATTCCTCCTAACTCTATTTAATGTTTGATTGTGTATTCAGATTAAGGGGATAATGTTAGGGGGTGGGGGAATGGGAAGTAGGAGTAGATTAAATATATATGTACACGTATACTAAATAAAAATATTTGTTCAAAGCACTTCCAAGTTCTCTACATTTTAGTGCATCTGTAGAGAAGGGAAAGGGTGGGGATAGAGCTTAACTCACTTGGGATTTCTGGTACACACTGGCTGTCATAAGTTAAAACTTCTCATGTATCTCATATATGGACTTTGAAGTAGATGTTGTTGGGAATGGAGGCATAATATGAAAACAAATCCTATGATCTGTACTTTGGAAATGTATCCATTTGAGCAAAGGAACCTGGTCCATAAAATCACTGGAGACTCATTTTGTACATTTTGGTTTCATAGCTAGAAAAGCATTTTGGTGCTTTAGTGGGAAGGAATGAATGGGAAGGAATGAAAAAAAGGGACAGAGTTTCTGACTAGATGGCCAGACTACCCCAAACAGAGAAGGTACCTTACTCCATAAAATAAAATAATAGTGTTAAGGAGCTCTTTCCCTTTAATACTTGGTAGCTTTTGGAAGGACAGTATTTCTCAGAGGTGTTAAAAGTGAATAATTTATAAAGGGATTGCATTAGATCCCCAAAGCATAAACAGAGGTTAACAAATTCTCACCCTCAGTGTTATATTTTCCAGCTTCGCTCCACTCTATTCGCAGGACTACAAATTCGGTTTTTTCCTATGCAATAATTGAGGAAAATGCCATCAAATCCAAGACTTGTTCCATAGTAAAACACCCAAGGAAAGCTATTTATGAAGAAAAGATATCTATTTTACTTCACAGCTTTGGAGACTGAAAGTTCAAAGAATATATGATGCAAGCTCTAATCCCACTGTAGAGGGTA